TAGTGATTCTGTGATTCTGAACCTTGTTTTATTGACCAGGATATGCTAATCTACGTAGCTGCCAGATGCTTGGTTCTGTGTCTAAATTATGACTTAACTCATTAGTGTTAAGGAAACATTTTGGAGAGTTGGAACTAAGCGGCTTGTCATCTCAAGAAGAATGACAAAATCCCTAGAGTCATTTGATGTAGTTATTAATCACCGTTTAAAAAGTATTGTCCGTGAACAGTGGGAGAAATGGATGCTGGAAGTTCAACTTGAATATAAAGCAAGGAGCAAACTGCTGTGTGCACCCATTGTAAAAGCTTGCTTTGGGGTTGTCAGTGCTTAGTGAAAATTCCTTGAAAGCAAGTTTTCATCCCGTATGCATACCAAATTCTGCACTGAATATCAAGATAACTTTTTCAAAAATGAAACAAAAATGAAATTAATCCCATCTCCAAATGGGATCTACAGATTGGAGGCAGATGATGAAAGCATTGCAGTTCTTCATGCCAATACACTGTGTGTATTTTGTAGCAAGAGCGATGTCACTGTTTGAATGGATTTTTGTACAGTTTTAATTATTTTTTATAATTAATTTTCCTAGTTCCAAGTTGAATCCATACTTCTTCCACATAATATTTTCTGGGTGACCTGAAAGCACAGGATGGTTATGCATGCTGTAAACTGAATGACTGAAAAGATAACCAAAATAATTAGGGAATGTTGATTTTTGTTCTGTGTCGCTCTCAAATACAGTGAAAGAGGAGTGGTATGCCAGAATCACCAAACTGAGAAAGATGGTAGATCAAATCTTCTGTAAAAAGTTTGGTGAGTACAGTATTATTACTCTCTTTTCTTTTATGGCTTTGTGTTTCTTCAAGGTTGCTTTCATTATTTCCTTTGAACGTCTGCGTGAATGAGACCTTTGATCAGTTTTTTCAAATACTTAAAATCCTGGCAGTTGAGTGCAAAAGAATGTATTGCTCGACTGCTTATACAATAAGATTAAATTCATAGTTAAAAAAATCTATAAGTCTTATATGTACAGCTCCTCTAATTGCTCTCAATTCCTTCCTATTTGGATTTTTTTTCCTTTGGTGGTGAATAAAAAAAACATTTACTTATTTATATCCATTGCAGTATCATTAAAATTAGTATTAGAATGTTCCTGTGTGAATTTTTATGTTCTCTGCAATATAAAAAAAGACAACTTCATAAGAGCTAGAAGAAAATGTTGCATGATGTTCTATAATAGATTAAAAACTTTGAATAAAACCAGTGTATTATGCCTCAGTGAGGAACCCAATAATCTTCAGTCTAGCATTGTGACTGCCCAATAGCAACATGATACAATATGGTAAATTTTTGTGGTTTTGATGTGCTGAGACTTGGACTCTGTTGGATTTAGATATCCTGCATTGTCCCAGGTTCTAAGATCATGACTGCAACAGCCTGAAGAATTGGTAGCTTAGCTAGCTTTTAATAAATGTTGATGGCCGAACTGACTAGTTACTGGATGTATTTTGTTCTGACAGCCGAGGCCACGGGGAGCACTGAGCCTAAAGCTGTTCCATACCAGAAATTTGAGGCCCATCCTACTGACCTCTATGTTGAAGGGCTGCCAGAGAGTATCCCCTTTAGGAGTCCCTCCTGGTATGGAATCCCTCGCCTTGAAAAAATAATTCAAGTGAGCAACAGAATAAAATTTGTGATCAAAAGGTAAGTGTTTTTCTTAATGCCTCAACATGTTTTTTTTAAGAAAGAGGCCAAACAAACACCCTTTGTCTAGTCAACCACTTGGTTTCATTAAGTCATGAAGTCCACCTCTAGTTACTCTGCATTATAAAGTGGGTATTTGCAATCCAGACAAGTCTTCCAAAACATCCTTGTAGCATGTTCACAAGTGTGAGATACAGAATAGAAAAATCTGAACTTTTCAATTCACATCATAATAAGTAGCAGTATTTAATTTATGTCGAGAATGGGCAGATTATTTGTTTTCTGGTTGCAGGCCAGAGCTGCTAACTCTCACTTCAACTGAAGTCATTCAGCCCAGGTCAAACACCCCAGGTAAGACAGGTGCTGTCTCCAAGTGGGAATGGAAGGGTTTGGTGGGGAAACACATTTGGATCAGTGCAACATTTTTCAAGAGGTAACCCTTCTGTGATGAGTGTGCTGACCTGCTCTTCATGAGGTCTGAAAAGAATACATTGGTCATCATGAACGTGGATGGCTTTCTGGATCGTGGTGCTGTCCAGCTGTCTTTGAATAACTAGAACGGCTCACCTTCACGGCCCGGCAGAGCTGGGGTTACTCTCCTGGCCTGAATCAAAGCCAGCTTAGCATCTCACAGCTGACTCTGTTGGGCTTTTTTCAGGCCTCTGTTGATAAGGACTTGTAACGACTTCTCGAAAGCATGGAAGTGTCTTCAACACAGGAGAAGAATCAGATCGGGTTTTTATTTCCGAATGCTCTGAATTGGAGTGTATTGGCACTTTCTTGCTACAAAAGCGTACAATCCAGATCTTGTTAGGTGATTTTAGGACTATGAATCTGCTTGTAGTAATAACCCAGAGATCCAGGGCTTCCTAGGTTTTTCCCCACATGCGTTTCACTGGATGAGCAAGCTGCAGCTTTAGGAAATAATTGTGTTGAGCTCGCTGCAGGGAAAAATAAGGGAAGACTATGATTTAATAATCATGTAAGCAGTAGTCATCTTCTGTCATCACAACATACTGTGGATTTTGTTTAGATTTTAGGAAGAGGCTCATATTCAGGAAGAGGGTAGCTCAGTAGAAAAGAGTATGTTCAATGTGGAGCAGAAGGAAAAGGCGGTCTCTTTTTTTTTTTCTTTGTTTGTTTTGTTGCCAAAACCCCTGTTGTCATCACATTTGACAATATAACCGACAACTTGACAGTGAAGTACTAACAGCCAATGATAGCAGTAAAAAACCAGCTAATAAAATCCTCTTTCTGAAAGAACGGACACGCAGTGGTCATGATTCTTAACACTCAGGAAAAGAGTGTGTTCAATGTGGAGCAGAAGGAAAAGGCAGTCTCTTTTTTTTTTCTTTGTTTGTTTTGTTGCCAAAACCCCTGTTGTCATCACATTTGACAATATAACCGACAACTTGACAGTGAAGTACTAACAGCCAATGATAGCAGTAAAAAACCAGCTAATAAAATCCTCTTTCTGAAAGAACGGACACGCAGTGGTCATGATTCTTAACACTCAGACTGTTTGAATGTTCAGAATAACATTTCTTTTTTGTACTAGTTATTTCACTGTATTTTTCACTAACTGGTATTACCAGTGCCCACAGAGCTTACCAGGCTCCAGGGTTTGGTGTCAGACAGGCAAACACAGCTCACAGCCCAGTGAAAACCATTTTCCCAGGCAAAGGCTGAGGATCTTCCTACTGCAGATGAAAACTTTATGTTGCTAAAGAATATTAGACCTTTTTCAAAGCAAAATATTATTCTGTTGCAACGTAGTAATCCTGTTCCCTCAGCAGATAATCTGCGAACATCATTTTGATTTTTTAAGTAAATAAGTCAGTCTAATTCCTTTGCCAGTAAGACTACGACTTGTGAATCAGTATAAACACAGGTGCAGATGTTAAATACCCGTGAAATCTATCAGATAAGTAGGCCAGATTGCAAAAAAATATTAATGCATCTTGCCTTGAAAAGATAAGAAGCTGCAAATAAACAAGGTCAGGTAATTTGTTAGTCAAAAATTATTTGGAAACAAAAAATTTCTGTATAGCTTCTTTCATGCGTGCTTTCCACAACTCTGAATGGTTTTAGCTCAGTAGCAATTCACTGTTATTTGTGGGTTATGATGCAAAGTAATGAATTATGATGCTGTTTGTCAGAAAAGAAGTACTTTTGTTGCTGCTAGTGTCCTTTGCTTTCTTCTCTACCTAAGCTACAAATTGTCTGCTCTGGCTAGCACTCCTATAATTGGCTTTTATTTACAATAGAGAACAAGAGTGAAGATGATCTTTTTCTGCTAATCAAAATGTTTAGCAAAGCACTCTTTAAATCCTCATCTCCTATTCTAAAGATTCTTGTTCTTATGCACGATGATTAATTAATTCCAACTTTGTAAGAGCCACTGGAATAATTCCTTCCTGCATCTAAAGGCTCTGAAGAACAACTTCTGCCGCTCAGGCTGATGTTTGAAACATGTAACTACATTTAAACAGATTTTCCATTATGTAGAGGGAATTACGTGTATCATTTAAGTAATTAAGTAATAATCGTTACTCATTGTGTGTCCTGGTCTACTCAGATGTGATTGTGTGGATAGTTTACAAGTTCTTGTGTTGAAAGAAATGTGTTCGAATGTACCTCTTTATCTAGAACTGGCTAATACTCTGACATATATCTGTTTCTGGTTTTCAGTCAAAGAAGATTGGAACGTCAGGATCACAAAGCTAAGGAAGCAAGTAGAAGAGATATTTAATATGAAGTTTGGTAAGTTAAATGTTAAACGAACTGTTTTATAATGCTGCTGCATTTTAAAACTCACCTGTAAAAAGACCTTGAAATTTTACTGTACTTATTTAACCATCAGATCAGAAATGCACTAGGACAGATATGGATATCTTGACTCCTCTTACCTACTTTTTACTGACTCTTCCCTATAACTGACATAAATGACTTTGTAACACCAGCCCAGGCCATAGTTTTTCCATTTGTGTGAAAACAGATGACGATATGTGCATAAAGGGCTTTTGGATGAAAAAAGTTCTCAGAAGACAATATTAGGCACTACAGGCTTAGATGTTATCTGTAACAAGAAGGACCAAGTCCCCATTTGAAATTATTCTACAGAAAATAATAGAAAATCTATTTAAATATTTCTCTGAGGTTTTTTTAATTATCTCTGAGTAGCAGAGCTTCTGTAAGCCAAGCTTCTTAAAATCACTTGAGATAAAAGACCACCCATTTGAGTGTGTAAACTACCATTACATCTTTATTTTCAGCCCAAGCTCTGGGGCTTTCAGAGGCAGTGAAAGTTCCCTATCCTGTATTTGAATCAAACCCTGAGTACCTGTACGTCGAAGGCTTGCCAGAAGGAATCCCCTTCCGGAGTCCCACATGGTTTGGAATTCCACGCCTTGAAAGAATTGTCCGTGGGAGTGGCAAAATCAAATTTGTTGTTAAAAAGTATGTTTGTAATTCACTTATTTTTACTACTGATTTTGAAGTTACTTGATTTTCTTCCCAGCAACCTTCTACCTAAATTCTGTTTCCATGAAACAGAAAGAACATTTTACAGGTATGTTTTATCTGTTGACAGGATATACCTTCCTTATTAAGTTTATATAGATATATAAATCGCGTGTTTCATGCATCAAGGATCTAGGGGAAAAAATGGCCTTGCACCTGGAAGCTTTTTTCCTTCTTTTCTCTTCCTTCTTTTTATAGCCCAGGCAAAAATTACAGAACAGAAAATGTAGCTTTGTTTTTTCTAACTTTTTGTGGTTATAGTAGATGGAGAGTCACCCATGCTTCTAGCAGAATTTTATTATAGAGAGCTGACGTTATGTAAATTGGAACTCAACTGAATTCCAAGAAACTTGTAATATTTTGCTGTATTATTTTTCTTGCATGTGGAATTGATTGGATTGTGTTTTGTTCAACTTTTAGGCCTGAGCTTGTCACTTCCTATTTGCCTCCAGGACTGGCTAGTAAAATAAACACTAAAGGTAAACAATTAAGTATTATTTGCTGCCATCAATTCATAAATACTTACTTTCTGCTTCCTTAGCAGACTGAGAGATCTTTGTGGTTGAAAAACACAGGCGTTGCAAACAACAGGCATTATTTAAGATGATACAGCATAGTAGCCTCTAAATCTGCTGTTATTTGAGAAAATTACTCAGAACATAAATTTATCTACTTTTTTTATTTTAGACTATTCCAATACAGAAAATGGAATTTAGCCAATTTTGACAACTTTTATTGTGCTATTAATGGCCTAAACCATATTTAACTTACAGCTGTGAAAAGTAAATAACAATGAAGCTTTGTAAGAAAAAGAATAAAAAAGAAAATCTTTTGTGTTTAAGTTGTCTATAAAAAATTCAGAAGTTAATAATTTTGTTATTTAGATAATAGAAAGTACCAAAGCTGTCCCTCACACTTAGAAACAACAAAGTATTCTGTTCTGAATTAGTGGAGTGAAAATTTAGGTGTTATACCTGTCTTTTTCAAGAGTACTAAACCTACTTTTTAAGGCTGTGCGCGTCACTGTATTGTTCAGATTTTACAATGCAGACTGTACGTAGTACAGGCACGAGTGATTCTTCAGTCTGTTGGAATTTTCAGAATACAGCTGTTTTTTCATTAGCTGTGCAGGATATACATTACAGAGGGTTTATGCATTACACCTTGTATTATATTGACTTCCAGCAATGAGTCCAAAGAGTTCAAAAAGGTCACGAAGTCCTGCAGGCAATTCAAAGGTCACAGAGATTGAAGTTAATGTTGAAGAAGGTATGGAAGAAATATCATGAAATATTCTTACAATGTTATTCTATTTTTCTGATGTTTTCTGTTCTCAGTTTTCATAGCCCATAATTAATTTATACATGCACCTCATGTAGCAAACTCAGTTTCATTTCAGGGCTCCAGAAACACTTTAATATAGAATCAGTTTTATTTTTTGTTTCTGAATAATACTGGATTCTGTGCAGATGATGGTAAATGTTGGAGTTTGACAGCTTGCTTGGGCCTTTCATTCCAAGCAGAGATGTGGGAACTGATGTAGTCCTGAGCAGAAAAATTACAGACGTGTTCAGTAGTATCAAATGCTTAAATACAACCCCAGAAGAACTTCTTAAGGGTTTTTTTATTCTACTCTTGATTCAGAAGTTAAGTTTTCTCTAGTAATCAAGTTTAATGCGTCGTTCTTTTTGTATGATGGCTTGCTTCTGCTCTCTGCATGTATATCTGTAATGTCTTTTTACAGGTGATAAACCGCAAACAACAGATGTTCGAACTAATTCTCAAACCAATGGGTCCAATATGAGTTTCAAGCCACGAGGAAGAGAGTTTTCTTTTGGTAAATATTGTGGGAATTAGCACACATGCATTCTATTAATGTTGGTGTGGAAAATTCTGGTGATTACATATCAGAGATATTTTGAATTCATGCTTTATTCTACAGTTAGTGAATGACTGAAGTTCTTGTTTTCACGTATATCCAGTTCTTCGTCATGTAGAATAGTCTGTATCGGAGAAATCCTGGATGATGTGTGGAGAATGCTGTACAAATGCATCATGGGTCTGTTAGATCTTATTAATTTGGGTTCAGAATGTGTCCCTTTAGCCTTCTGCTGCTCTGTTATTTCACAGACACTATGAAGAGTGCATAAACCCAGCTGAGATCTGATATCGTGCATAAGCTTAATAAGCGCTCCACAAACGTGAAATATTGAGCATCACTGTGCCTAGATACCCAAGTGGTGTGTAGGAACTAGGAAAGATCTGAACTAACATTAGTAAGCCACGATCTATCAGAGCTGATTTTGCAAGACCACCATTATCGTCCTCTCCAGTTTTGGAAAACCAGTGAATAAAAATCCAGACAGGACTGGAAGCCTTGCAGTTGTGTTCATGAGCATTGGGCCAGAGCTTTTTAGCCATGGAGGACCAGGCCTGTCTGTGCAGCGCTCTAGCACGGAAACCCTTGCATTGAAAGCAGGGTCAATTTGCAACCCAGATAAATTCCTCATAGTCAAGTGAGATAAGTGACTGTGTTCAGAGCAACTGTAAGCAGTTCCCAAGTCTCATGAAACCTTTTTTCAGCATCCTTACATTCTGAGTTTATTTGCTTATATTTATCACAGAATCACAGAATCATTAAGGTTGGAAAAGACCTTTAAGATCATCAAGTCCAACCATCAACCCAACACCACCGTGCCCATTAAACCATATCCTGAAGTGCCACATGTGCACATTTTTTGAACACCTACATGTTATATAGGAGTTTGCTGTTACTTGCTTTATTGTATTTGTCTCCCATACTTTCTTTTTAGCCATATGGTCATAAAACACGGAACAAAGCAATTCCTATAATTGCTCCTACTGAGCCAGTTTAGAATGAATACAAGATAGTGATTTGGTACGGCTGTTCCTTTTGGCATGGGCAGTATTTGTATTCACAGATGTGTACAGTTTTCTTGAACTTGCTTGTTATTGTTAGATCTAGGCCTTTTTTAAGAAAAGAAGTCTGCAACTTTTTTAAGCTTTAAGCTGAGTTTTTAGTTTTGTAGACCTGCTAAGGACCACTTACTGAAACCACAAGTAAACCAGTTTAGGGATCGCTGCTGATCGCTGTCAGAAATGAAATGCCTAGTTAGAAGGACAGTTAATCTTACCCTCTGAAGTTGAAATTATGATAGAGCTTATAGTTCTCAAGAGAGTGGCATGTGTCTCAGGGCTATGTCCCTGAACGTATGAAGAACTTTCTACCGCTATTCTGGGTGCTGGTTCAGATGAATTTTTATGTTGCCTGATATTGTAAATTTGGGTCACTCTTGGATTCGCTTCAATTTTAATCATCCTTGTGTTAGTTAGCAGTATTTTTCAAAGCTTTAGGAAAAGGAGGATTCATGTGGATGTAGCTTTAGACTGCAGCAGAGTATTTCGGTGCCGTTTGCAGAATGATAGCCGTTTTGCGCATTTTACCGTCATAGTAAATCAGCTATCAAGCATAATAATTTATTAAACATTTATTAAAGTATTCTTCAAGGACTGATTCATTGTGTGAGTGTTGATTTAATTCTTCCAATTTCCTCCTGGCAGAGGCATGGAATGCCAAAATTACTGACTTAAAGCAGAAAGTCGAAAATCTTTTTAATGAAAAATGTGGTAAGTTTATTGATTCTTTTTTAGCGAGATGTCTTTCTTATGAACATACAGTTAGACATATGATAGATACGTTCACATGTTTATTCCAAAGGTCCTGCAATCCTTGTGCACTCTAGACAATCTCTTATTTGAGTTCATTCTCACGTAGGTTGCTTGCAGTTGTGTCACATTTCCACTAGTTATTTTATCTGGGTTTGGAAATGGAGAAGTTGTGGTTGGATTGCTGCTTCTTTAATGACCCAGAGACATAGTGACTCCACATCCTGGCACATCTTTTTAAGCTTTCTTCACTCAGCTTATGAATGGTTCTTAGTGTGACTTCCATCTCTGCATGACTTAATGCATGATGGAGAGATGTCCTCCATCATATCCCAGCACTTCTAGTGCAGGCTGTTTGGAAACTAATGACTTTTGGAAGTCATGACTTCTCATTACTCTTCTAAGTGCGGTTTTTGGAGCAAGAGCACTGATGTCACCTAGCCTTGGTGCTATTCTCCAGCAGAGACACAGAATACATTGCCTGTAACAGAGTGGAGTACAGATGGGATAATCTTACATGCAGACCAAGCCAGTGCCATGAGCTGTCTATAAATACTAATATTTTTAACTGCAAATTATGATCGGATTTACTGCAACAGAATGAGTTATGTTTGAGACTCTTTATTTTTTCCTGCCTACTTGTAGCTGACACCAAAAAAAAACCAAAACACCAAGGCCTGCTGGTTCCACCTAATCTAGTATGTGTGTGCCAGCTATTATATACCAGTTATGCCCGAGTTTTCCTTTTTACATACACATCAGTTATCTAGCTGGTAGCTTAATTGCTCTGTTGCATTTCAGGGGAAGCGCTGGGGCTGACTGAACCAGTGAAGGTGCCGTTTGCATTGTTTGAGTCCTTCCCGGAGGTTTTCTACGTGGAAGGACTACCTGAGGGGGTGCCATTCCGCCGGCCTTCTACTTTTGGAATTCCAAGACTAGAGAAGATCCTGAGAAACAAATCTAAGATAAAATTCATTATTAAAAAGTAAGACTTATATATGTCTTTGATAATGCATTCTATGAGAATTGAAATGTAGACCAAAAAATGAAATTGCGTTGCCGAGTTGGTAAATCACTCTATAAAGTACACACTGGAATACTTCTGGTAAGTGAGGAAATGGTCAGAAAGCTCTTGTAGAGGTGGAGCAGGATACAGTAATCTCTTTTTGTTCTGAAAGACACTCACAACCTGTTTTTGGAGGAAGAGCAAATCCAGACTTCTTAGCCCATCACATCACTGCTTTAGTTCCTACTGCGTGAAGCACTATCTATGGGTTACTCACAGAACTTCCTGGCAGTGTACTAAGAGCTGAGAAGTGGAGATTCATATATTGGGGGTTGTAAGAATTTCTTTTTCTCGTCTAGAATAGGTTTAGATACCCATGTACCAGTGTAGAAATCATAGCAAGAGAAGTTGTGGAGCCTCTCAGCCATTGCATTCTTGGCTGTCTGGCTGAGAGGAATATAGCATTTGCAATATCACTTGGTTCCTGCCTTTAATAAAATAATATTAGAAAATTACATTTTCTTTAATGTTGATGAATGTGATTTTATTATTGGACATGAAATGTTCAATCTGTTTGCAGGCCTGAGATGTTTGAGGCGGCCGTTAAGGAAAGTTCTGCTAGAAGCCCCCAAAGTGAGTTTTGCAACTGCATAACGTTCTAAATAACAGTTTCTTTCAAGGATGAAACACAAAGCAGGAGAGCTGCATGGTGTTAATGAATTCCTGAAAGATCCATTCTACATTGTGGTTGGCTTGTTTGTTTGCTTGTTTGTTTTTAAGTTGGGAAAAGCACTTACCTTTTACAGTTTAAATACAGCTTTAGCAAGGGAGGTACTAAAATTTTTTTAATTATTCACAATAATCATGCCTCTAATATATTCTTTACAACCTTTTATCAAAATGAAACAAGTAATGTGTGATCCACAGAAGTAATTCAGGTCTAGAGATAGGTAAATTATTTGGTCCTGATACGTAGGTCATCTAAACATGCTCCACAGATAGGAGTGCAGATAGCTGGTAGAAAATTGTGTGAGGCAGGTCATGGACTAAATGTTTTGAGTCATATTATTATCTGTTACTATGGGTTGGCAAAACTCCACTGAGTTAGTTGAACTACGCTAGTTTGTGCCACTGGACAGTGTGACTTACAGATACAACTGTAAGGGATTTCTTTTGTGAATCAGTAAGTGTTACTGCAAGAAAGATGATTTTTCTGTTAATACTCTTTTTTCCCTTTTCTTAATAGTCTTTCTAGGAAACCAGCTAGGTAAAGATTAACACTATCTTTAATCTAGCCCTTTCTCCACTTGGCTAGGAAAGACAGAGTCGTGTGTACCATTAATAAGTATTTCTCATTGGAAGCTGAAACCCGTTTTGAAACTGGGACTGGGTCTGATTTGTAAACTTTGCAAATATCTGTTATTTTGCAATATTTTCCGTATATATGACGATCAAGATTTTGGGCTTCTTACAACTGTTTTTTAAATCAATTCTCTTACTTTTAGGAAAAAATAATTCATCTAATATAGCCAATATAGCAAGTGCCACAACAAACACAGTGGCGAACACAGCTGCAGGTGTTGAAGATCTTAACATCATTCAAGTAACTATACCAGGTGTGTATACTGTCAGGTTTCACATCAGACTTTTTGTGCTTATATTCTTTGGGACGTTTGTTTAGTCTGAAGTTTTTTCCTACAGTCAAGCTGCTTCACTGAAATGTAAATACAAAGAGCATAATTTAGCATTCTATTTTTCCTGGGATGTTAAATATTTTCTAACTTTCATGAATATCTATTCAATGACATCTCTAGAATATTCGTGGCCCAGCCCCTAGTTAAGAAATATCTCTATTTTTCCCTTTTTTCGTATGTACTAAATTAAATACCGATTTGCATCCTTCTTGGCGACTTCAGGAGGTCAGGGCTCGGACTGAACTGAATAACCATGCAGACTGAACTGCTTTGTCTTAACAGCAATTGCTACTTTCTCAGGCATATATTACATTCATTAGAAACCTGAGGAATATTGCAGGCTGTGGCCATCTATTGAATGGTCACTTTGCTTTTACCGTTCCCCATCATTACACGTACTGTAAGAAAATAAAATATAATTTGAGGGTTTAGCTTTAGTTTACAAAATCATGTCTAGACCGTAAATCTGATGTTGGTTATGTAAATACTTTGAAACTTCTCACAGATTTCTTAACAACCGTCTATTTTTGCATATTTCTACAATTCTGTGTTACTGCTAAAACTAGGAACAAAGACGGCGCCTGTTCTGAAGAACTCGGGTATACTTGCTTTGTGTAAACACGCAATGATAAACAACTGTCAGGAAGAAAAACCTGCTTAATTCTGATGCTATTCTAACAATTTCTTCCAGATGATGAAAGTGAGCGTCTGTCAAAAGTGGAAAAGGCCAGACAATTGAGAGAGCAAGTAAATGATCTTTTTAGCCGGAAATTTGGTAATTGCTTCTTACTCCCCATTTTTACATAGGTGTGAATGCAATTAATGTTGTTCATATTGAAGTTACTGAATCATCACAGTGGATGATATATATCATCATTAAAATAAACAAATTTGAGAATTGCATATGAATGTTGGCTTTGACTTCAAAAAGAATCAAGTAATGTAGGTTCTTTGGTGTTTTAAACAAAAAATCCTAAGAGTACAGATTGCTTTACGTTGTGTCTTCCCTGCCCCTTCGTCTTTATTTCTGTGTAAACATGGATGAAACATTTATTTTGCTGGCAATCCATGATTGTTCTTAGGGCTTCATAATCCTGACCTCTTAATACTTGGGACTAGAGTAATTTTGAAAACGCAACCTAACCTTTTGCTGTGTGTAGTTTTCCCTTTTTACTTTGTGTTTTCATCGTACAGCAGTAATGACCTGAGGTTTTTTATCTGAAATTCCTTCACTAGTGCTGTGTTGAATTGCTTTTTGTGGCATTGCAGGAAACACTGTGTTTTTCTTCATGTAGCTATTTCTTTAGATATCCTGTTCTATACCTATTTTTAGTACAAACAGAATCTGTGTTCTTTATACGGTGAGCTGACACGGTTGGAGTTGTAACTAACACTGTCGTAGTAATGTTCATGAGTGTAATCCTAAACATCTGTTTCTAACGCTGTAATGGTTTCATTGTCAAGTGAATTTTCAGAGTTTCAGATCTGATAGAAAGCTTGGGTTTGCATTTAGTTTCTTAATTATCTGAGGACCTTTTCTTCAATGTAAACATAAATACATAGACTTGAAAATAAACACAACCTCTCTCGTTTAGGTGAAGCCATTGGTATGAATTTTCCTGTGAAAGTCCCATACAGAAAAATCACTATCAACCCCGGCTGTGTGGTGGTGGATGGGATGCCTCCCGGCGTGGCGTTTAAAGCTCCCAGTTATCTGGAAATCAGCTCCATGAGGAAGATTTTGGAATCGGCAGAGTTTATCAAATTCACTGTCATTCGGTACGTAGTTGCCATTGATTAGATTGTACAGATGTTGCGAGGACAGCCCGGTAGCTTGAATAAATTGAGATTTGAAAGAATGGAAGTTGCCATGCATCTTTGAATAATGGAAGATGTTGGCTCTTTCAGATAATAATATATCAGTTCAAATGAAGCCCGGAGGTTCATAGCATGAATGAAGTTGGTAACACTTTGGAGGACACGTCCAATTTAGTATGACAAAGGGAATGTTATTAATACTGCATATTACAGCAAGCTGTCTTTTGAGTTGAAACCTATTAATGTTATATAACAGAGTCCTAAAGTGTTGTGGGCCTTACTCTCCCATTTATAAGACCTAGTTTTGAGAGCAGTCCAGAGCTTTTTGGCTTTTAACAGTAAATAGTATGTTTGTAGTAGTATTATTATCAATATTTTTTAAATATTTCAGTTGTGTTAGGAATCCTGAGTTAAGGCAAAGTCTTTGATAGATTTTTTTTTTTTACAAAATGAGTTTGTCATCTACAATATTTAAAAATACAGTATTGTCCAATTACGATGTAAGTAAATTTTATTTGTATGTGTATATTTCCATAGACATATACACACACACATATATACAAAGTATGTTTGCATGGATGAAACGGAACAGGTGAAACTTTGGAATCATACTAGAAAGGAGTTCAGAAATTTAAAACAAAAATTTATCAGTTTATGTAACTTCTCAAATCATAGACTGCTTCACAGTAGTCTAAAAACATCAGCTTGTCTTTAGAGAGGGAAACGTCTTAAATATATTTTACTAAGGGTCTGAATTCTCCACCCTTAATCATGAAGTGTTCTAACTGAAAGGACTCTTGCTTGGTACGTTTTGTTTAACTGAGCTCTGACGAAGAGGTGACTCCCTTGTTAATTAGTGGTGGCTGAGGGAAGGATTTAGATCTTTCTGTGTATGTTACTGCTCAAAAAGCTAGTGAACAAACCACGGTGCCCAAGAGCTGCTATCACGGTTCCTTCTGTTTTGTTCGACTTTCTGTTCATTTTTTAGCATGACCTCTGTTACAAAAGGTTAAGTGAGGTTGCCTTGGGAGGGAGACCTCATGCAGTATGTTTTAGAATGAGTAAATTTAAAAAAAATTTTTTTTACAGACCATTTCCCGGACTTGTGATTAACAATCGTAAGTATTTATGAGACAATGATAGCAAATGTATTTTTGTGACTTACTAGGATTCGTTTCCTGCATTTTGGCTTAGTGGCAGAGGCTCCACAGTGGTTAAGTTCTATGTATAACTCTTGTCTGTGTCTGTCTCATTAAGATTTCCTGACTGAACATGCATGTGCAATTAACTTGAGAGCAGTGTGATAAATTTACAGAACAGTATACAATTAGCATTAACTTTGATATGAAAATGCAAGATACTGATTTTGTATTTTTCAGCTGCAGAGTCACAAAGAGATTTAGGACCCTGACTGAGCAACAGACTTACATGGGAGTGCCTACATTTTAGGTTCGGATCCATCACAGTAGACGTTAATAAGCAAGAACTTTCCAGTAGCTGCACAACTGTGTTCCAGTGAAAAATTCTGCATTCTGCTGAAACTGTAACAGTTTAGAGAGGCAGAGTGTAATTACCTGAAATGCCATGGCCAATTTGACCATGTTAATGAAATCGTTTGGGGGCAAAAAAAAAGGAGGTCATGGTATTTTCAGCTGCCTAAAATAATTGTGACCTGTTTTTTTAGATCTTATATAAGAGAAAAAACAAACTGCAAAACACTGTCATTAGAGTGTCCCTTGCCTCATGTTCTTTTTCTGAGCCAATGTCAGATTAGAAATTCAGAGGCCAAATAACCTACTGCTGTTTGTTTGGCCTTACCCAGCGTTCATTCACTTGCATCCAGCCACCAGTATGTTGCAGCTAACATGCTGAGGTCTATGAACTGCAAGTAAAAATGTTCACAGGAAGATACTATAGTTAATAACTCACATTGACCTGCTCACCAGTCCTAGGCACACCTTCTTAGGTGGGAAAGAGGTCCCTTTGTAAGAGGGAACCTTCAAGCAGGTAAGTGTGTCATAGCATTTCCAGAGAACTGAATTAGAAATGAAGTAGTAATCTGTTGTCTATCCAGCATAACTGTAAGCATGTTTTGGAACTGAAGCTAGCTGATATACTGAGTAAAAACAACACAGGCACCTGATCATCTTCAATCACTGGAGGAGCAGATTGGTCGTTGAACATGTGGGGTTTGTGCAGCATCCATGTCTGTTAATTATGATCAAAGTGATCTGATATTGCTAGTTACCAAGGTGAATGACTGAAAGGCTCTGAGCCTACTGCTTATGTACGTATGATGCATTATGTTTATTCTGAAGAACATGTGAGAACTTGCAAGGAGATTTTTGGTGCTTGCAGGCAAGGTAGGGAATGCTTTTCTCTGTAGCAAAAAGTATTGAACTGCAGCTCAATCACAAGTGTTAGTAACCCGTTCATGCAACAAGTTTCAGGATTTGCAGATTCAAGAAGTAAGATTGCCCTTGTGTTACATGTGGGACCATTTTCATTGTGAAGTTAAACAGTGATCATGTCTAATCTTAGAGCTGATGGAAAAAGCTGAAGCAGAAGCACCACCAACAGCACCAGCAGCAGCACCAGTACTGCCAGGTGATGCAGAACATGATGCGTGTCCTTGCAGAAGGGGTAGGGTATGGAGTGCTCGATCTTACTGGCAGATGATATTAGTAGTCATGTCCTGGGTATGCGCTGCTCATGATGAGCCATTTTATTTTGACAGATGGTGTGCAACAGTGACTTTTATAGCAATTAAATATTAATAAATTACTAGAAAGAGCCATTGCTTCCTTCAGGCTGTGTCATTGGCATGTTCCTTGATTCGATTTTTTGCAGATGATGAGCGAGCTGAAAAGAAGGATGAGTAGGGGCAATATATAAAACCAATTCAGTATCCATTCATTGCTGTCTGCTTAACTCAAAGTATGTGTGTGTCTGCACCAGGCAGATGTTCAGCCAAGTGAAATTTGCCTGTGTAACATGTAAGAACCTAGAATGGGGTCTTGCTGGAATTTCTACTCACTGCCCAGCTCTGTAACCCCCTGCTAGACTGTGTCTGGACTGCACGCACATCATGGCTCTTAATCTGAATGGAGAAGTTAGCTTTATGCTATGAGTAGCTAAAGTAAATGTAGTTGTGCAACTTCCTTTTGACCCAATATAGTTTCTAAATGTTTGCAGACCTTTTAAAAACACGTATCCCAGGTTGGTGTAGCGCGGGAAAGCCTTTTGCAATTGACTGAGTAAACTGTTAGTCAAAGAAACTGGGAAGCTAAGAAAAAACGTTTGATAAACATTTTAAGAATGAGGGACATTTGTATGATGGAAATAATTATAAAGGAAACTACTGGCTCCTCTGTTTACGTTTGGAGGTGGTGGAAGGGAGGAAAACAGCTGCTGATAGTCAGTGACGTTGCTGTAGTCTGTCTGTCCTTAACTCACCCACAGTGTTAAAAAGATGAAATGGCTTTTCCAACACCTGTCCATCTATAATTCCATCATGATTTTTCTATTATCCATCAGCATAGATAATAGAAAAACCATGATGGAATTAAAACATACTTTTGCGCTCTTTTCTGCACCTTCCTACAGTCCCCCAAAATACACTACTCCAAAATACACCACTGAAGACAATACTAAGAAAAAGTGGTGACTTTTTTTTTAAATCCAGTTTTATATTTAAGCAGGTTGAATAAAGTGGGTCCAAACTTGGTATATTCTGTGCAAGTGCACGTTATGTTCTGGTAGAACTTGGTGATATGTCTGCCACAGTGAACCATATTCAGAAGAGAAAGTGTTAGTGTAATGTAATAAATGTTTGGGTATTTTTTTACATTTTGTTTCAGACTCTATAGATACGCACATTTATCTCAGACTCAAAGAAATTTGAGTCTGATCATAAGAGAAAAAATGAGGCTTTTTTCAGGGAAAACTTAATTTTCCTAATTTTTCTAAGATACATATCTGATACTGTTGAAACTATATTCATATTCATGTGACTATATTTTTTTTAATTTAAGAGCCAGCTGAACCAAGCCAAATAGAAGTATCTGTAGGAGGTAAGTGTTTGTCTTCGGTTATTATAAACAAATATTTTTTAGTCATCTTGAACAAAGTTGCGTCTTTTTTTAAAGGAGGCAGGACAATCAAAACAACAAAAAACGGGCTTTTATTGGTTCCCAGGACATTTTTTCATCTGTATTAATATCACTCTGCATCATGTGAAAAATACTCTGCAGCAAAAGTTATTATTCAAATCATTTTACAAAGCAGTTTTATGAATTGTTGTTCTTGGTTGGTGAGTCATGACTATATATAGGCTTTGAGTGATTGCTCATATCCTGAGCGATGCATCTAGTTATTCAACGCAGTAGTTTCCACAACTTCTGCAAGTGAATGATGGCCGTCATCAGGAAATTTGAATGCCCTATTGGCCTGCATATACTGTGAGGGGGTGGTGGGGAGGGGAACTATTGTTGTTCTTCCAGAACCTAAGCTCTGAAAAACATCCAGTGTTCCTATTGTCCAAGAATATACTTGAGTTGTATCTTTCTCAGATGTTGATGTATGTGAGACCAAGGAGGCTGTAGATCTTCTACCTGCCCCATGCTTTTGCATGTGTTCATGGAGATTTAGGGATACTGAACTGACCAGAGAATTGGGGTGCTGGTGTCTGCTGTGTGCTCTGGTCCTGTCAAGGCTGCCTCTGCTACAGCCCCAGCTTGTCAGCGCGGCCCGGGATGGCTGTGGCTGCCCCTGGCGTGGCTGGCGCAGGGGGTCCGAGGTGCTGTGACAGTTTTTCGTGCCAGGTAGTCCTGAGGCGGCTGTCTGATATCTCAGTAGGAGCTTGACAGCAACCCAGCCAACAGCACTGGGATGGAGGCTGCTGTGCATCAGCGCTTGTCGTCTTAAAACTCTCAACTTGAGTTCATCCCCTAATCCTGCTTAGGTTCCCCCAAAGAGAAAGCAGCAAATCTCAGCACTCCCATTCTTCCGTATCCTTTTCCAGCGAAATGCCCTTTCCAGTCTCCATTGCTTCAGTTTCCCTGTCGTGTCCCTGAACTCTGAGACAAGCCAACATGCTCAAGCAGAACTAGTGTTACAAGCTCGGTTACAGGTTCGCTCCAAGGGTTATGAGTAGGTCTGTCTTGGAGTATAGATCAATCCTGTTGCAGCAATCAAGACAAAAAGGCAGCAAGTGTTAGAGTCACAGAAGAGCTGAGCTGCAGATTTTAAGCTCACCGTTATTGAAAGCTGGAACATCAGATGTCTTTATAATGCCAAAACTATGAAATTGAAACTAACTGAAATTGTTAGATGATGAAGGAGAGAGAGAGTTGTTCCTGAATACTTCTGTGTGGAGGAAATCCAGCTATGGGCCTTCAAAGTGATGGTTTTGAAGAAATACACAAGCGTGTTTTTTAATTTGTCATCTAAAACTGGATTCAGACCCAGTAACCAGAGGAATGATCTTGAGAAAAAGCATGCAATCGCTAAAGAACTCAAAATCGCTTCGGAACTAGACTGGAAGGTATAAAATGATCATGTGGTGAAATGGCTTGGCTTTGTAGTGATGAATTACCCTAGCCCCAAACCTTCCAAACAACCTCGGTGAAAAACCAATTTCCTTCCAACATAATATTCTCTGTTTGTAAAAAGAACAAAATCAGGCTCAGGGTCATATAGGCAGTGCTATATAGGCACGAGATTCCTTTGATTTACCTCCAAGCGTCCCTGTGAACAAGAAAAAGCAAAGATTTTGTAATGAAGTCTCCTGGAAATGAGAAAAAAATTGTATCAAAAGATGATGAATGCTTTAGCCAACAAGATAAAACTTCTTCCTCTTTTTTTAAGCATATCATGCCTTCCTGTGTGATGCTGTGCATTGAAGCAGAAGAATTAGCTAGGGTCGAAATTTGTTTTGGATAGATTGAAATATAATAATGTGGAAATCTGTATCTAGTTGAGAAGAGAAGCAGTCCTACAGATGGGAAAAAAAAAACCCTGCAAAATAGTCAGTGCTGTGAAAACAAGAGTTTGTGCAAGAGTTAGGTTAATAACTAACCCAGAAGGCATGGCTTGAGCACTGGTAGGCTCGGATGTCGGTAGCTGGCTTTGGAAGACAGCATCTTAAGAAACGTGAAACAGTGGTCGTGCCCGATGTTTTTGAAGTCAGGAGCTACAGACTTTCGTGAGAGTGTTGGAAAAGCTTCACCCAGCGTCGCGTATCCCATGAGGGGTTGAAGGAAGGAACGGTGCTGGTTGACAAAGAGGAGGGAGAAGGACTGAAGAGCAGGATGCAGCGCAAAACAGTGACATATCTGACATTTCTCACTGATTATGTGTTGTTTCCTTTTTGGATTAAGTATCTTTCTGGCCCAGTGAGTATTTCAGCTACGTGAAAAGCATTTGTAAGTTTTATACACTTCTAATGCCCATTTTTACTTCTGTTCTTTAAAAACTAGTTCTGTAAGATCCCTGCTGTTACCTTGAAGTAATTGTGGTAATTTCCACAGAATCAGATTGCTGTGAATATGTTTTTATCGTTTAAATAGTTTAAAAAGTTAAATTAATGCTTTTCATATTTTCATAATTTTTTACTTACTAAGTACAACAGTAACAAAATTGGTTGGGAAGTTCCCTTTTTCCTCCATTCATTACTGCTTTTTCAACAGATACTACAGAAACAGAAGAAAATTCTCAAATAAAGCAAGAACCAGACCCGACGTGGTAGACCTCATCAATACTGGGTAAAAGAATTCAGTGTTTCTTGAAGGCAACACCTGTCAAGGAGTAGTATTTTTATATTTTGGGGTGGGGAGAAGAGGGCTGAGGTACAGGACTGAATGCCAGAAGGTACCACTCCTTTGCTTGTGAATTATTTTATTTGTCTCAGTTTTCACCTATAAAATGTAGGATGTTTTCACTGCCTCATCCAGATACAACACAAAGCACACTGTGTTCAAGTTTGTGAGGCAGGCAGTCCCAGGAAAATGTGGCTTATAAATAAAAATGGGTGGTGGTAATTACATACCTCAGAAGCAGAGTAAATGAAGGCTTAAGGGAATTAGTGTTTACGAAGAGCTCTGACATGGTTGTGTGAAAGAGCATTATTATTCTTGGTAAAGCCTATGTATTTCCAAATTGTAATTGAGCAGGAAAGCTCTTCGCTATGATTGCAATATTGTCTGAGCTTGGGACACTTGGTAAAGCTATTAGCTGTGATGATAAATCAACTTCTTTTAAAAGTTTTTTTTTCTTTTATGAAAAGCTTAGTTTAATTTACAACGCAAAAATGTCCAAATCTTTCTCTAATGCTATTTTTAACTTCACTCATTGCTAAAAATGACATTTTGGTGGAGGTGGAAAACGGTGCTGGCAATGCTGTTGCGTCACCAAATGTAAAAGGCAGACCCACATAGTTGTGAGTCCCTATGCTTCATCAGAGAAAATGGCAATTTTAAGCTATCACAGCTCTGTAGTGCTTTTTCCCATTTCAGTTTTTTGATAATACTCCAAAGATCTTCCTCATGGTGTAGTGTTTGATATTTTAGCAATGTGATTGATAGAAAGTTGGATGCACTTGTTTAGCATACTCAAGCTGTAACCTGTCTAGCTTTAGTGAGAAAAAGACACGGTATGCATCTCGGAGAGGGAAACGCCTGTGTACTGTTTTGTAGGGATTTTTGTAGGAATATAATTCCAGTTCTGAGGGCGCAGACAGGCAGTCAGCAAAACCGAGCTCTGGTTCTGCATTCCTG